CTCATACCTGTCCCGTTGCAGGTCAGGTAATTTGTCATGAGGCGCGAGTCAGGGTAGGTCGACCTAATGGGTATGTAATTTATATGAAAAACATTAAAAACATTCGTTATTTTCATTAAAATACCAAGAAAAAAACAAACCGTAATATGATAAAATGTAGTTAAATGATTGGAGAAATTGAGTTTTCCACCTACTTACAACTTTATTATAGCTAAAATATGAGGTAATAAAAGGAAAATTCTAAGTAATTTGACTAAGATTACATGTAATTTAGGTAAGAACGGGTCGAAAATGAGGCGGGTCAGAGCAGGTCGGGTCGATGAGAGGTACACATGCCCCCCCCCACCTAACCACTTGTTAGACAGGTCAGACTCTCCCTAAACAGGTCAAACAAATCAGGTAAAACGGGTCAGGTTGAAATTGTCTATCCCTAATCTCGGGCGATTCCCGTATGCTAATAACCAATTTGTTACCTTTCTATTACAAGAGACCAAGGTTGTCAAACCGGTTTATACCGTTGTGCCGGTTTGGCAAGTGGAATGGTACGACCGGTGGTATAACCAGTTTGTGCCGGTTCATGCCGGTTTAAAAAAATATGAAAACAATTAATATCCAATGTATTTAATCATATATAAAACATATTTGTGCACAATTTAGTTACAATCCAACAAATATCATCATCTTTTTTCTATTACATTCATGAAATGAATAATAAATTATTATTTTTATTCATTAAATTCATTAAAATGATGTCATTAAACTTAGAATGCGTAAGTCGATCATACCGGTCATACCGGTAGTGTCATACCGATTTCATGACCGGCACAGGTTGAACCAGGTTCAACCGGGTGGCATGCCACCGGCATGACAACCATGCAAGAGACTAATCATATATATAATAATAATAATAATAATATAAAGGGAATGGGCACCGGTGTTGTTCCCCGTCAGGCAGCCTTTACTGTCCTTTTGGCGGTTACAAACAATGTAGTTATTGGTCTTTTATCTCGGGCTATAATTAGCTATGATAAAAATATCCGAACTTGTGAATGTCCGCTCAAATACGGCCTAATCAGGTAGCGTAAAATCCGAATCTGAATCTCTCCTTTTCTCCAGGAAAGTCACGGACAACCAGAGATGTGGGTGTTGCGGGCAGCCGGTCGAAACCATCCTCCATACGCTTCGAGATTGCACTGCGGCCAGATTCTTCTGGCTTCGTCACAGCCCGCCTGGCCTACAGTCAAGCTTCTTTTCCATGGGCGAGCGTGACTGGCTGCGTGAAAACCTCAGGAGCAGCGAGACTTTGGGCTCGGGTATGAGCTGGGCAGCCTGTTTCAGTGTTGCGTGTTGGCTCCTTTGGAAGAATCGGTGCACTTTCTGCTTCAGAGGCCCAGGTTCTGCTCTCTCTCCGTCTTCCCTTGAGTTCTCGATCATGGCTAAATGCAAGTTGTGGCATGAAGCGTGGCAAGCCCCCTCACCCCTCCCCTGTGGTAGAGGGCCGACGACTGCCCGTACTACGGTTATGGTTGGGTGGACTCCTCCGATGCATGGGTGGGTGACTCTTAATGTGGACGGGGCCTCTAATGGCAACCCCGGAGCTGCTGGAGCAGGAGGGGTGCTACGCGACTGGGCAGGCAACTGGATAGCTGGTTTCATTGCGAACTTTGGGACGGCCACGGCTATTTTGGCTGAGTTGTGGGCGGTGTTTCACGGCTTAGAGATGGCTTGGAAGAAAGGATACAGGGCGGTGCGCTTGGAGTCGGACTCCCAGCTTGCGGTTCAGCTCATCAACAACAGGAGTGATCCGGTTCATCCTCATGCTACTCTTCTCTCAGCCATCCGTAGGAAGATTGGTCAAGAGTGGTTGGTTAACATCTCTCATGTATACCGGGAAGGGAATAGAGTCGCGGACTGGCTCTCGAAGCACAGTCTCGTCTATCCCTACGGGGTGCATGAGGTTGCTAACCCGCCCTCGGAGTTAGTGTCTATTGTTAGAGAGGATGCTAGGGGTGTCTCTTTCGAGCGTCGGATTGTGACGCCGGTTTCTACTAGCTTGTAAGGACCCCGGGGTCTCCCCCTTTTTTGGCTGTTGCCTCCCTTTACGCAAAAAAAAAAAAAAAAAAATCCGAATCTGAATGATTTTTAGTGGGCACGGGTAAAATTCTAACCCGAATATTGTGGGTAATGGGTAGACATGGTTTTCTCACTATCCAACCCAAATCTGTCCAATTATACATATTTATATATATTTTTATCTAAAAATGATAATTATTTTCTCAACATATAATCAGGTAGGGTAAAATCCGAAATGATTTTCAGTGGGTACGGGTAAAATTCTAACCCGAATATTGTGGGTAATGGGTGGACATGGTTTTGTCACTATCCAACCCAAATCTGTCCAATTATACATATTTATATGTATTTTTATCTAAAAATGATCATTATTTTCCCAGCATATAATCAGGTAGGGTAAAATCCGAATCTGAATGATTTTCAGTGGGTACGGGTAAAATTCTAACCCGAATATTGTGGGTAATGGGTGGACATGGTTTTGTCACTATCCAACCCAAATCTGTCCAATTATACATATTTATATGTATTTTTATCTAAAAATGATCATTATTTTCTCAATATATTATATATTTAGCATTCAAATATAATATTTTTATGAAATTGTGTTGTTTGAAATTAATTTTCTTCATTCTGGTGAATTATTCTTGTAATTTTCGACTTATATTATGTGAGTATTCGTGTGACTGTTAAAATCTTAGATGTAATTATAAAGATAAATTATTACTCATGGATAACTGTGGATACCCGAAACACGAACGGATATGAACATGATTTTGATTTTCTACCCGATTCTTATGTAGGTATGGTCTGTATGGATATGAGTAAAACCCTAACTAATACGAATAGGGTAATGGAAATACACTATCTGCCGCCGACCCGTTCCATTCCGGGTAGGATCACATCCTTAAGCCACAAAATTAAGAAGTTTCTTAAAGTTTGGCTGGCCAATAGGAGGAGGAGAGAGAGGGTAGGAAAGTAACTAACTAAAAGGGCAAATTGGTAGTTTGATTATTTATTTAATGTTATTAATTGTAAAAATTAGTGGAGCAACAATAGAAAGATTTCCCTCTAACAGTCGCCACTTCCCTACTCCCCTCTCTCTTCATGAAAAAAAACCCCAATCCGCCGATAGACTCCACGACCTTATATTATTAACATTTTTTTGTTATATGTGTAGATGATTCTATTAAACGTTTTAATAATTTTGTTGAAAAGTGACACATTTTCATTAAATACGGTGACCTTTTTATTAACATGGCAACAAGAAATGATGTGAAGAAAAATATTAAAAATCATGAACATTATTAACCCAATGGGAATTATTAATGTGAAGATTAATATTTAACGTTTAAAAAATGGTAATTTCGTGGCGACTTGCAATGACATTATTAATGATTTGCAATTGCATTATCATCGTTTATGAAATGAATTATTATTGATATACCACATCATTATTAACAAATCCAATATACATTTCAATGCTTTACAATTACATTATTAACGATTTTAGTACAATTACTACGATTTACATTTTTGTCATCAACGCTTATGATGAAATTATTAAAGTTATGCCACATCGCCATTAACGAGTTGAATAACATTATCATTGATTTATAACATATTTATTAACTATTAACATTTTTTATTAATTTTCATAAGTAGCCAATCATGAGCTCTTACTATAACTTCTGTGACATTATTAACATTTTACGATCAACTAATATTGATTTACATTGTCATTTTCAACGAGCATATAACACAACATTTTTGTTTCTACATCTTTCACACAAGTGACGTATTGTACTTATTATTCATTCAAATAAATACTAGTTCATGATGGTGCAAAAAATCAATCAACCAATCAACTTTATCAACCCAGCTCCAAGTCGTTAATAACCATACAACAAATAATTGATAACGAAGTTATATTTCATTGAGAAAACAAAAAACATTAATAATATTCGTACAGATCAATGTTAAGTATCAACCACCATCCAAAATTTTCATATGAATGTTGCATTTCGTTCAAAAGTAAAAAAACATTAACATTAAAAAATACCCTCTAACACTTAATAATGATATCGTAAATTATTAATAACTAACTTATGTTTCATTGAATGCAAACAAAATAATTAATGATTATGAGATCAAATGGGTCATTATCATTTAAAAATTGTTAATCACCAAACTATACAAATATTAGTTAAATGGGTCATTATTAGTTGATAAAAACCAACTTTATCAACCCAGCTCCAAGACGTTAATAACCATACAACAAATTATTGATAACAAAATTATATTTCTTTGAAAACAAACACAAAAATATTAATAATATTCGTACTCAATGTTAAGTATCAAATATCATCCAAAATTTTCATATGAATGTTGCATTTCGTTAAAAAGTAAAAAATAAAATATTAACATTAAAAAACACTCTTTAACAGTTAATAATGATATTATAAATTATTAATAGCTAACATGTGTTTCATTGAAAATGCAAACAAAATTATTAATGATTCCAACATATTGTATACCCCACATATTAATAATCCATTGCAAAGTCCGTTACTAACTAATATCAAAACACTAATAACCACACCATAAATCAGTACAAATATCTATAACAAAACAAAAAACATTGCAAACATCTATATACCATTACTAATATCAAATTAAAGCATTGTTAACGATAATATATGCATTATCACAATACCACCACAAAAAATGTGAATAACCATTAACCAATCCTAAACTGCTAATAACACTTCCCCAAACCGTCCATAACACATACAAAACAAAAAATAAATAATAAAATCAAAGATGAAACGTGATAAAGCTGCTTCCCTACTCTTCGTCGGAAGAACTATGCAGATAGGGTCGGCATAGAGATATGTGCAGAGAGGGTCGGCATAGAGGGAGCTGTGCAGATGGGGAGGCGGGCTGGAGAGCCCGTGGCTGAATGTAAGCGCCGATTTTCTGCGACCTGCTGTTGCTCCGAAGACGGAAAGCAGCGACGAGGCACTCACGACGTTCTGAACGATGACTTTGGCTTGCTGGACACGACTCAACGGCGACAAGCAGACTCGACAGCGACTGGCAGATTCACGGTGACAGGAACAATCAATGACGACGGCAACAGGAACATTCTGCAATTCATTTTTTAGGGACATTCTGCAATTCATGGAGATGAGATACGTGGGAGGAAAGAATTTAAAGATAAATATAAAAAACCTAACATACTAATTAATTAAAACCACTCCAATACCCTGATTACCCTTACCGACTCAATAACTACCAACCAATAAATACCTGAGAAATTTTACAATGCTATATAGTATTAGTGCTATAGGTTTTTGCTTTTATGGTACAACTTAAAATTGTACATTTACGTTATGGTACAACTTCAGATTGTACCTATATATTTTGTACAAATTCTTTTATGGTACAACTTGAACTTGTACCTTTCTGTGATGGTACAACTTCTAGTTGTAAAGTTGTACCATAACATAATGGTACAATCTAAACTTGTACATTTAATGTTATGGTACAAATTTGAGTTGTACATTAAAGCTCCAATACTATATAGCATAGTAGAAGTGCTCATAAATACCTACCTAAATTTCTCATAGTCAATAAGAATGATTTAAGCAACTTCTTAAGTTTGGAGGCTTAAGGACCTGAACCATCCATACCCGCCGCGATACTTCAATTTTCAATTCAAAATTTTCCAGCATTGAATGAGATTGTTCACCGTGAGTCCCTTTTATAGCACACGACATCAATCATCGTGCCCCCAGCCTTACTATCGATTCGGATACCTCGTGCCGAAAATTCTAATGTATTTTATTAAAAAATTAAAGTTTCAGCCTTATTACTAATCTTCTTAAAATGGTTAATGATTATCTCACTCATATTGAAGGTTAAGATGTTTATTTGAATTATTTTGTCATTTTAAGCTCGTAACGAGGAGATTCATTGCTTAATTTATTCTCGCTTTGCTTTGTATATGCAAGCTAGTACAAGTTTGATGCCATTTACATTGCCTTACCCGGTGATCAAATTGCCTTATATGATGCCCTGCAGGGGCGGAGGGAGAGTGTGAAAAGGATAGGTACCGGCTCGGAAGCAAAAATATTAAATTAGGTATAGTAGTTAATCGGGTATGAAAAATAACACGTGTTAATCTTAAATGAAAAATGGTTGAAGTTTCAGATGTATGATGTTTGATTTATAAGTTGTGTATTGACATGTTCAATGTTTTTATAACGAGCTTTGTACAAATGACAATGGTGCTTATGATCTGCCAAAAATTAAAGATGTACATATTCAATATCTAACACATATTTCCACCAAATCATAGCTAGTTTGTAAAAATAATTTTATTTCAATCAGGGGTAGGGAGTGTGAAATTAGTATAATAGTTATAATTGAAAATGATTGATCGAGAGATCATGTGTTCGAATCTTAACGACCCCATTTGTTAAGCATGTGATATACATATTTGCAAAACCTTTAACCACGTATAAATTGGTTTTTGTTAGCAGAAAGTGTTAGTAAATATTAAATATTTTAAGATCCATAATTAAATCTTTCCCAACAACTCGAGTTGTTGATACTAAACGGTCTTGACAAAGAACACCATTCAAAAGCAAATATTTAACTAAATTATGAATAATTTTTTCGGTAATTAATTATGAATAATTTTTTGATACATATAGATTGATATTTTAGTCATATATTTAATTTACCAAATTTTTGTAAGTAAATAATTATATCATGAATGATTTAAATGCTAAATAAATAATTTTTTGTTCAAGCCTCGGGGTACTTGTCGAGCCTTATTGTTCGTGGCTCAGACGAGCATGTGCTCCTTCCTTCGAAGTCTGGCATCAGGGTATCTTTGACCCATATCTTGAAGAATTACTAGAATCTTGGGATGACATCTCACTTGTGATCTCAAGAAGATTGTCTTGAGTTATCTTCGAAGGTGATGCCAAAGCTGTCATCCATCAGCTTAGTCAAGGAGTGTTGGTGGATTATATTGGAGGACCCCCTACATCGGGTGTGTCATCTTCTAGTTGAGTTCTTATCTCATTGTATAGTTTTTAGGGCGGTTCGGTGGACTCCCCATAGAGGGACACGTAAAGTCCTGTTGCTATCTATTTTAGAGTTAGCAGTTTCTCTCATTTTGTAGACAATTTCACTTTGGTGTGATTGAGAGGGTCTTGAGTTCTAATGCTTTCTAACTATTTTTATGCCATTCCTAAAAAAAAAGGAAGGATAATGTTTTTCCTTCTTCTTTTTTCACAGGAAGAAAGGATAATGTTACCTTTTTTGGATGTTATTAGTCAATTAATAAATAACATAGTCGAATCGCTTAGCAATGAAATTGCGCCCATCCATAATTGCAATATTTTTTTTTTGTACAATTTATCATTGCAAAGCTGCTGATGATTATTTGGAAACCGTAAAACAGAGGAAGGAAAACATCAGAGTTGAAAAATACATAAATGAAACAAAGAAGGAGGCAAACCTTTACGTTCATCATTTCGATACATTCATAATTCATTTCTCCCTCCCGTTTCACGAAATTCCTGAAAGTCAATCGCGGAGTATATTATATAGAACCCGGCCATCGCCTTCAGAGATCGGAGGATTTCCCTCTTACTTCTTCTACTCTTTCAGCGCGTAGCCCAAATCCAAAAAGTTTGATGTTCTCTTCTTACTTGCATGATAACGTCGAAGATCTTTTCTGCCATTGTTATGCGGAATCTCGGATTCCCATTTCATAGACAACACCCTAATTTATGGGTTATTTTTAGCTCAAGAGGGATTTCATATGCAGTTTTGCCTCCCGGGATTTTGCGTACGAGAGAGTGGAAATCAGGTGTTTTGGAGGTATACATGCAATGTGGTGAAATTCTAAAGGGTAGTGTGGAGGAGCTACCGTTTTAGAGTGTAGTGGGTTTGGGAGAGAGGAACATGATCATAGGCTTCATGTGATTGTTTTTCGTTGGTATAGATTGATGAATGGTGGTTTGGATTTTTTGTGTTCAAATGGGTATTGGTTCTTCTTCCACAAAAGTGCAGCTCCTTGAATGGCTGATTCTCAGAGAGTTGGTCTTGGTGAGAGAGACATCGACCAGGTTTCTTTCTTCTTCTCTTTACTTATTAATGTTATCTCGGACGATGGATGCATGGAAATCATTCTTCAAGAGTTGAGCTTTGAAATTGTTGTTAGGATTTACTAGGTTTGTCGATAATGAAAGTCGTTGGTCTTCATTGTTATGATGACATGATACAAGTTGGTAGACTTGATATGATTGCTAAAGTTGCTTATGCACCACAATGTCAATACCAAAACCTGAATGATGTAAGAAATTTGTTTTGTGTTCACTGTCTAATGTTCTTCCCATCCTTCATTACCTATTGCAGGCCATTACAACACTTAAAAAAGGGTCCTATTTGCTCAAATATGGTCGTAGGGGAAAGCCAAAGTTTTGCCCATTTCAACTTTCAAGTGTAAGTTGGTCTTCTTTAAGCTTACCTTAACCTACTACATTTAAGTTCTTGTGTTCCTTTTATATATGCTGAATTTTTTAAGTTCTTACTTTCACTTTTCCTTTAGTTCGAGGTAAGGAGGATAATATGATATAAAGAAACATCAAGCGTGAAAAATATAGTCATACTTATAAAATCCGGATTTCTCACTACAATTGTGCTGATTTGATTTGGTTGTGTCAGGATGAGTCTACATTGATATGGTACTCTGGGAAAGATGAGAAGCAACTCAAGCTTTGTCAAGTTACAAAGATCATTCCCGGACAGCGAACGGTAAGTGTCCAAAGTAGTTCTTTTGGGGTGGAGGAATTTTGTTGTCGTACTTGCACCACGTGCTCAATGTTTTTTTCTCAAAATCACCTTATGGCTATTTCAGTTCAACTTGTTCAGTTAAGCTATTTGTTTACTTTTAATCCTCCATTATGTTCTTATAATTTGCAATGCATTTTCTTTCAGGCAATATTTCATCGCTATCCTCGACCGGAGAAGGAGTATCAATCATTTTCTCTTATATATGGTGATAGGTCTTTGGATTTGGTGAGTTGCTCAATTATGTTTTGATAAGAATACTATTCATAATAAGTCATGACCGTCTATCGATTTATTCTGTGCTCAAACTATGGCTGGGAGCTTTGGTTTGTATGGAGAGAAAATAGTCTACACCATGTATAAGAAGAAATAATTTGAGGTATGTTTACAGATATGTAAAGACAAGGACGAAGCTGATGTTTGGTTTGTTGGTCTGAAGGCGCTAATTACTCATGGTAATTACAACCGAAAATGGAGGATTGACACAAGAACCGAGAGTACACCATCAGAGAGCCCATATTCTCGTACACGACGAAGTTCTCCTTCTGTTACACCATTTGTCCGTAAAAATCTTTTGAGATTTCATTGTTGCTTAGCTTTCATTAAATTTTGCCTCTCTCTTTATGAGATTATTCGCCATTTTTTCAACAGGACCTAGAGGCTATAGATGGTCGAGATTCCGCCTCAGACTTGGATAGTAATGCACCAAACAGATTGGGAAAGGCATTCTCAGACATTGTAACATATACTGCTTCAATTAACCATCAAAATCTAGCAGATTCTACTGCAAGTACAGTTAGCTCATTAACTATTGGATCCGCGGACAATATTCCAAGTGGTCGTAGTTCTACTAATGAGACATTTAGAGTCAGTTTATCAAGTGCTGTAAGCTCGTCCAGCCAGGGTTCGTGTCAAGATGACTTTGATGCTTTAGGTGATGTCTTTATCTGGGGAGAAGGAAGTGTTGATGGAGCACTTGGTTGTGGCGTCCATAGAGTTGGAAATCCATATATTCCAAAATCTTATGCTCTTCTGCCCAAGGCATTAGAGTCAACTGTTGTTCTTGATGTTTACAGAATAGCTTGTGGTAGCAACCATGCTGCATTGGTCACAAGACATGGAGAGATCTTCAGCTGGGGCCAAGGTTTAGGTGGTAGGCTCGGGCATGGTAAAGAAGTAGATGTTCCTTTACCCACACTAATTGATGGTTTGAGCGGTATGAATGTAGATGTAATAGCATGTGGAGAGTACCACACATGTGCTGTAACACTTTCTGGGGATCTTTATACCTGGGGCGATGGAACTCACAACTATGGTCTCCTTGGACATGGAAGTGAGGTAAGTCACTGGGTCCCAAAAAGGGTTTCTGGTAACATTGAGGCAACATATGTTTCCTCTGTTTCATGTGGATCTTGGCATACAGCTGCAGTGACAAGCAGTGGGCAACTGTTTACATTTGGAGATGGAACTTTTGGAACACTAGGTCATGGTGATCGTATTAGCACAAGTGTACCTCGGGAAGTGGAATCATTGAGAGGGATGAGGGTGAAAAAGGTTGCTTGTGGCTTGTGGCACACTGCTGTAGTTGCTGAGGAAGTGATTACTGATCCCTTGAGTGGAGAAGTTTCAGCTGGTCCTTCATCTGGGAAACTTTTCACATGGGGTAATGGAGATGAGGGCTGCCTTGGACATGGTGATGAAAATCCTAGACTAATCCCTGAGCAAGTAGTCACTTTAGTTGATGAAAATGTCTGCCAAGTAGCTTGTGGGCATAACCTTACAGTGGTACTGACGATACTAGGGCAAGTATATACAATGGGGAGCTCTACTTATGGTCAGCTTGGATGTCCCAAGGCAAATGGGAAATTGCCAAACCTTGTTAAAGGTAAACTATCAGATTGCATTATAGAAGAGGTTAGTTGTGGTTCATATCATGTTGCAGCTTTGACCTCTAAAGCAGAGGTATATACTTGGGGAAAAGGAGCAAATGGGCAGTTAGGCCACGGTGACAAAGAAAGTAGAAATACACCTAAATTAGTTGATTTCTTAAAGGATAAGCAAGTCAAAACTGTGGTATGTGGTTCCAATTTTACAGCTATTATATGTCTTCATAAATGGGTGGGCAGCGCTGATCACTCATTATGCACGGGTTGTCGAAATCAATTCGGCTTTAGAAGAAAACGTCATAACTGCTACAATTGTGGGCTAGTGTTTTGCAAAGCATGCAGCACTAGAAAGTCTCTAAAAGCTTCTTTGGCTCCAAGTACTAATAAGCCATATCGAGTTTGTGATGATTGTTATTATAAACTGAAGAAGGTGTTGGAGTCTAATCATCAATCTTCACACACTCCCAAGGCTCGAACTGGAAACAATCCTGATAAAAGTATCGATATGATGGAGAAAGAGACAGTAATCCCCAGATTGTTGTCACAATACTCCAAACTCTCAACTATTGACGCCATTCATGGGAGCAAAACATGGCAGTCGAAACATAGTAGTAAGAAAAGGTTGTGTAATAGTTGTGTATTTCCTGCTATAACTGCCAACTTACAGTCATTGGAATTAAGTCATTTTAAAGTACCTACAATTGCACAAGGTTCCTTGAAGAAGCCCTTACAAAAGAACTTACCATCTTCCAGTGTTTGTTTGAGAACTCCTATTATTATAGATGACACAAGAAATATGAATGTCACTTATTCTGAAGAAATCCAAAGCTTAAGGGAACAGGTAAATCCAGTTGAACTCATTAACTTTAGTAGTTTCATATTTATCCATTCTTATGCTTTCTTCAATTAGCCTATACGAAATCCAACAGCTTGATGGTTACACGGTTGTTAACCCATGACCTTATATTGTCTGAACATCTCCTTGTGATCACTTACATATATTTCTTTATTTCGGTTACATATGTTTGTCTTCTACTTCTATTTGCGATATTCACATAAAGGAAGTTTATTTGAATGATCTTTATAGGTAGAACATCTCACTTTAAAAATCCATCGTCTTGAAGCTGAGGTTGAAACAAAAGCAAATCAGCTAAAACAAGTTACTTCACTGGCTGCTGATGAAGCTGAAAAGTGCAAATCAGCAAAGGAAGTCATCAAGTCCCTGACCACTCAGGTGAACTTTGTAAAACAACCTTTTGGCTATATATACTACGAACATCTGCTCATAATCTATTCTGCAACATACATGTATGTCAATAAGTTAGTTGTTTTCTTGATTTATTTCACCAGTTGAAAGAGATGGTTGAAAGAGCCTCCGAGGGAGAGGGCCTAGATGGCACCAAACATGAGTCTAATGCCAGCCATTCAACAAATGAACTATCTCGTGAAATCGAACCCAATGGAAACTCAATAGATAACCATATGCTGACATATGGACCCAAGTGCCAAAATGAGAAACCACAACATGTGATACAGGCTGAACCAGGGGTGTTCATCACTTTGTCATCCTTGCCTGGTGGCGCCAATGAACTCAAACGAGTTCGTTTCAGGTTCGTGATAAAATGGGTAACCATATTTTTCAAGTGGCATAGAATCCTTACATATGTCAATTGTCACTTTTGGCTCATGGTAGTTTAGTAACATTTTCAGATATTTTTGTTACAGTCGCAAATATTTCTCGGAAGAAGAAGCTGAAAGATGGTGGACGGAGAAAGGGACCAAGGTATGTGAGCGTTACAACATTCATATAGAGTGACAATGCGATCACGAGAAGTAGACTCCTCTTCATAACAAAGCCTCTTATTTTGGCAAAAGAGAAGCAATTAAAGAATGTGGCATATTCTTCATGGAAAAATTGTACACTTTATGAAAGTTAATTCTTGCATAACAATCTTATTGAGAAAAATGTCAGGTTTCATTGGTAGATTTTATTTTCTCTTTCGTACAGTCCTATTACAATTTAGAGTCAAAGCTATCTATAATTGTTTTAGAAGTAAATACAAATAGAACAAGATACTTATTACAATTCATTGATGCAAGCTTCAACGCAACATGTATTACTCAGATCTAGAAGTTACTCTTTTCATCTTCACACTAGACTAGATTAGTTTACCTAATATATAATTCTTATTGATAGAACTACAGTGAATGTCTTCCATCATATGGAACCATCTTGTTCTAATTATCATTTTGTTTGGAAACAGAAGAATATGATATTATTGTTTGAAGGTGACTTTGCTCTTCCATTTTGATAGATTTCAGGGATATAATGAAATAAAAATACACTACGTTGATATTGTCTCCATTTTCAAGATTGAAATATTTCAACAATTTTGAATTTCATTGCTCCTTTAATTATTCCATTGGAAAAATCAATTTAAGAATATCCCTTCTGTATAAAGATTATACAAATTACTAGTTAATGGTTCATGAAGTTGTATTGCCAAATACGCAATATAAATGTCAATAAAGATGCAATCGAACAAAAATATACAAGAATCAATCAATTATAGATGTGGATGTGAATATACAAAATCGTACGCTATTAGAACTCGCAGTTGAATTGTGTATAATGCATAAATCAATATATGAAATTAGCCAATAATGTTTAGTTGTGGGCGGGAGTTCACCATGTACTTCTCCATACCCGTGCCAAACCACAACAAAGTCCATGGCCACTATAACAATAAAAATCTGTTCTAGAAACAATTAGCTAGCTCACAACATGTTCAAGTGTGGCGCGCACTTTTGATTTGAACTCTAGTGCACGATCTTTTAAGTGTTTGAGCTTCTTCGCAACTAATGTACTCGGACTTAACGACCTCTCGATCAATACCTAGCCTCTACAATCCTACAAAATATTGCAACACATACTCAATAAAGTCACCATAATTAACAAAGCCACTAAACCCAAACACTCTCGCCGCTTTGCTGCTCTCACAACTTTTTAAACAACATGTTCGATAGATGCGAACACTCCATTATCATCATCAATAGTAGTGGAGAGTTGCATCCATAAACAATTAGAATCATATCAAAACTAAAGAGGTCACAATTGATAACGCTCTAATTATACATATTTAATCCCTCAATTCATTAGCATTTTGGATCATTCTCTTGCATATTAAGCTGATTTTACACTAGGTTGTGCATGTTTGTGATGTTTCAGGACCTATAACGTAAATGAGAGATTAGGAGAATTTCTGGGAAAATTGGAGCAAGTCTGGAGTAGAAAAGGGAAGAGTTACGGCCTAGCCCATTACTCCCCAAGTTAGCCCGTAACATTCTCTGTAGAAACATAAGAATGGTTGAAAGTTACGGGCCAAGTACCTAACTTAAGGCCTAGCTCGTGACTCTTCAAGGAATATTGTAACTCTAGGATTATGGTTTACAGAAATGGTGGCGCTTTAGGACAAGTTACGGGTGGAAGAAGATAGTTACGACTGTAACTTAGGCAGTAACTCGGGAATCTCTAGAGTATAAAAGGAAGTTTTGCGAACTTGGCAAAGGATCTGATTCTTTGACCTAAAATCAAGCTGCAAGCTTTATGGAGAGAAAAAGTGAGGAAACACCATTCTTGGAGTGATTTGGAGCATCTTTGGTGACCATTAGAGGTCGATTCATCGCGTCAAAGTGGAAAACGAATACATGGAGTAGATTTTCACCAGAGAACGATGATTTCTACTTCTGCTCCCATGTCTTGTTCTTTCTCCATGGACTAAACCTCCTCTACATTTGGGTATGAAGAACCCTAGCTTTGTATGTTAGGATAATCGTTGTATTAACCCTTGATTCTTGAATATTGGCATTGTTACTGCAATTGAGGCATTTTCCAAAATTGATTGAGTCTTGATCACATTCCTTAGATTCCTGCATTAATCTTATAGAGATAAAATCTTATTAGGTTGTTAGAACACCCTAAATAGAAATTAGTGAATGGATTGCACGAGAGTGAATCAAATCATTGACTTGTACCGGAGTCAAAACTTAGTAGTGAAAGTTTAATTGAATTACCTTGGTAGGTTATTCTGGTTGAGGATAATCTCCCTCTGGGTACTATATATTCAAGAGGGTGTGGATTGCTTTAATGAAGATTCTAGACTTCCTCAAAACTTTACGCAGTTTGAAGGTCGATGAAAATGAATTAGAGAGAATTACAATTTGACCTAACCACTGGATAGGGGGACATATACATGAGTGACTTTTGCATCTGAATCGAATCAATATTTCCTTAGTTTTCTTCCCCTTAGTTAGTAATCTTCACTACAATTCGAACATTGGATAACATAGTCGATCACCAAGTAATAGTAACTCTAGGTCCTCGGGTTGACAAGTAAAGCTTAGATCCATTATAATGCATCATGAGTGTGGTTATACTTGGTCACTTCTTAGTGAGTTGGTTTTAGAGAGTCAAGTTTTTGGCACCATTGTCGGGGACAACTAGATTAGTAGGAAACGTTATTGATTGTTACTTCAGTTTAAATTTTATGCATTTGTTACTTTTTTCTCCTTATGCATTTTACGGGTGTGTTGTTTGAGTGTGCGCAGGTAATGTATGACCTGTAGCCAACGGGTCGACTTGCTTTCATTGAACGACAACATCAACCATACCATACACGAGCTTAATAAAGCACTTCATCTTCAAATGGCTGCATAAGCAAACTGGACCTGCATCGTACACTTGTTGAGGACAAATCACACCCTCACGAAATAGCCTACAAAGAAAGAGATATGGATGATGAAGAGATGGCTCAAACGTCATGCAACTGAGTCCATCACCTCATGGGAAGATTTGAGTACCAATTTTATGATTTGATACTTTCACCAGCTCAAGATTGCCGCTCTTCAAAAGAAGATCACTCACTTTGTGTAGGACAAGGACGAGTCTCTCAGGGATGCTTGGGAGAGTTACATAGACGTAATCCTGATGTGTCCCCATCATGGCTTCGATGACACATACCTTATGGGGAACTTTTATGGGGCCATTACTATAGAGGACATGTAGCTCATTAACACCTTCTGTTAAGGAGGTATGCTCAACAGTACCCCACATGAGATGAATCAAGTGTGGAAGAACATGGTTGCCCAAAGATACGATTGGCACACTTCCTGGAAAGGAGGAAGCTTGAAGGCAAATGGCGTCCATGCTGCAAAGTTCGGCATGATTCTAGAGGAGCAGGTTTCCAACCTTGTTCTGACCATGAAGCGGTTTAACAGCCTCATTTATGGTGGAGGCAACTAGCAGGTGATGAAGTGTGACAGGTGCTAGAGCCCGAGTCATTTTGTGCAGGATTGGCAGATCATGATGGAGAGACCTGCCAGTAGGAGCAGACGACTTCATTTCCAACACTCGAGGAGGCAACAACCCATACAGCAACGCAATAATCCAGGGTGGCACCAGCATTCCAACTTCTCATGGCCTGTTCCCACAAATCATAGGCCACCAGGATACCAAGCACCATCTGCATGGTATCAGCAGGGCTCTCCCTACCATACCAGCCTTGATAGAAAAACCAGGAGAGTGGCTACTAGCAACATCAACAACAACCCTAGGGACCTATAGCACCTACTCAACCTCCACCGGATAACTATCAGGATGGAGGAACTAGTTAGCAATTTCATGATCAATACTACCCAAAAGTTTAGCAAAATGAACCACTTCATGGACTTAGCTGCTGGGATTTTTTCTGAGATTGAGGATGGCCAAAGGCACCAGCAGGCGGTTTTGAAGAATTTATCAACCCAGATCGAGAATGTGGCAATTTATTGCCAAGAGATCATTGGGTACCATGCTTGCTAACACAGTGCCCAATCCTCTGGATATCCCAATACATTTAAAGGCCATATCTCTCAAGTGTAGGAAGAAGACTACTAACATCCATGCTCTTGCTATAAGCAAAGAAAAGTATCCTACCCCAGGAACCCTAGTCTCTAACAAGAAAATGGAGAAGGATGAAGAGTTGTCTTCTCCAAAGCCACAACCAGTGGTGAAGGAGCATGTCCCTGAACTTTCTTTCTGCACTCGTAAGCATAAAGACAAATTGGAGGTTGAATTCGCTAATGTCATGATTGATGCTGAAGCAGGTCCACATCAACCTGCCGTTTGTGGAGGCACTATCGAAGATACCCAAGTATGCAAAGTTTATGAATGATCTCCTCACCAATAAGAAAAAACTTGGGGAAGTGTTGACAGTGATGGTGATTGAAGAGTGTTCTACCATCCTACAAAATAAACTACCAGAGAAGCGGAAAGACCCATGGATTTTTACTATTCCCTGCATTGTTGGTAGTTTGCCTGTAGGGTAGTCCTTGGTGGATTAAGGTGCTATCATTAAGTTCATTCCCTATAAAATTTTAAAAAAGCTAGGCCTAAGTGAACCTAGCACCACTAGGATTAGCATTTAGTTAGATGATAGATTTGTTGTGCATCCTAGGGGCATTGTTGAGGATCTGCTCGGGTCTATGGGTGAATTCGTTTTCCCTATTGATTTTGTGATTCTTGACATTATGAGGATGTGGAGGTGCCCCTAACTCCGAGTAGACCATTTCTTGCCACCGCCAAGGCAATCATATATGTGAATGATGGCAAGTTAATACTCTGGGCTGAGAGTGAACAAATAACTTTTTTCCATTTATGATAATCTAAAGCATTCCCACTTGCATGATGACATGGATTATTGTGATGTGTCTTCGGATTTTGAGACCGCACTCGCCATCACGACTGCAGGTACATACGATACCCTTGAGCTCTTTTGT